TGTTTGTTACATTTTCTTTTCTTTAGCAGCGTTTAATATTTTTTTTAACTTTGCCTTTTGATAATGTAACAATGATGTCTCTTATTGAAGATCATTTTGCATTTAGAAATTTGGGTTTTCTTTCAGCTTCCTAGACATCTATGCTTAATTCTGATGATATGTTTAAGAACATTTCAGCTATTATTTATTTGAATTGGGTCTCTTCTCCCTTCTCTGTCTCTCCATCTTCTATAATAATATCCATAATCCTTGTTTTCTCTTCTAATGGAGTCCGATGTTTCTCATAGGGTTTCTTCATTATCTCTAAATCTTATTTCTCTCTTCTTCCATGTGAGTCATAGTACATTTGTATCATTTGTAGTCATAGTACATTTGGCAGAAGAAAATCTCCCTTCTGCCAGTTTTAGGCTACTTAATACACTTTCCATATTTGTTCTTATTTCATTCAATATCTTTCTTTTTAAACATGTTTTTTTAAAAATATCTTTCACTTCTTCAGTGAAGAGCCCTTTTTGTTCCTGAATCTTTTCTGAGATCCCAAAACTGCCCTATTGTTTCCTTCCTTTACAGATCTCCATGAAACTTTTTATGATGATAATCTACAATCTTTGTCTATTAGATCCTCATTTTGTGTCCCTTAGAATCGTCTCTGAACTTCTCTTTCAGTTCTTCCATCTTGTGTTCAAATATTCCTTTCTTCTTAGGCATGTATTGTCTTAGTTGCTTTTTTCCAGTGGTTGCACTGTATCTTCAATTTTGTTTTCTTATTTGTTTAAATTATCAGCTGCAAGGTTGGAATGGAAAGTTGGAGTCTATAAATTCAGTCTAGGACTTGGTAGCAACGCAAGTATTTCAGACAAAGATTTACATTACTTCTTCTCCCTTTATTTCAGAGCAAGCACTGTTCACTCCTTCACAGGCTGCAAAACCAATGTTCCACCTCCTTACCATTTCCCTCTGTGGAGGCTGCCAAGGTCCACCAGAGGGCTAGCCTCTGGCTACCCGGGATGTCCACAAACATGAACAGCTGGTGAGTTTTAGACCCCAACTGAACTACATGCTTCTAATCTGTAACAGCCAGAAAGCCCAACACTGAGGCTTTCCAGACAAACAAAGCTAATGGAGCTTACCATCACTAGATGTATACTACAAAAAAATGTTGAAAGGAGTTATTCTACATGCAAAAAAAAAACAAAAACAAAAACACCACCAAAGTAGGCAGAACCTTGGGCAAGATGAGGAAGAATAGTACAGAATCAGAGTATAAACAAGAATAATATGAGACAACAATAAAACTTTAAAGGGGAGGATGAAAAGACTGAATCTGTATAGTGAAGCAACAACGATTTGGTATCAGCAAAAAAGGACTGTTTTAGATATAAAATTTGAGGCAACTCTGACAGAACCCAGAAAACTGAAATTTAGATTAGAGACACTTTAGAAGAAGAGATAAAGAAATGTGAAAACTACAGGTAAAGTTGCCCAGATGAAAAAGCAGGTAGGATCATATGCAGAAGAAATAATAGAGAAAACAACCATCAACGAAAAGATAGGATGGCAATGAATAAGCCTCATAAATATCAACAATCACCCTAAACCTTAATGGTCTGAACTCATCAATTTAATGCCATAGATTCACAGATTGTAAAAAAAAAAAAAAAAAAAAAAAAAAAAAAAAAGCATGACTTCTCTACATCATGCATACAAGAGTCTCATTTCAGAGCTAAAGACAAATAAATACACACTAAAGCCAAGACGGGGTGGGAACAAGGTATTTTAAACTAATACCATAGAGAAGAAAGCAGGGACCACTATTCTGATACCTCATGTAATAGAGCTGCAGCCAAAACCTGTAATCAGTCATCAACATGGCAGTATAGAGAGCCTAGGATCACTTTCATAAAAACCACTTTAAAAAAAGGACTAACAACAAAACCCAGATGCTTCGAGTCAGCTATAGGACACCAGAAAGTCACCGGGAATAGAAGAACAGAAAGGGGACACGAAAAAGGAGAAACCTGCAATCCACGGGATCCAGGCGGATCCTGGACACACAGCCCACCAAAGCGCCAGCATCATACAGTCGGGGCTGGAACCCAGCTTGGAACCCACAGTACCCCACCCAACTATATCTGGAACCCCTGGTTTAGTGCCAGGATGGGCACAGAGCACGTATTCTGTTTGTAATACAGACTGGGTAAAGGAGAGCCCTGGAGCCCTCAGTGGCTTTCTCAGGCTTTTATTGAGCTTTTACATGTAGTGCAGCAACCAGGTACACAGTAAGCAGGGGTACCAGGGGGCTGGGAGGCCTCCAAGCCCCAGGCAAGTCTTCATTCTGGGCTTCTCCGGCCTTCTTTCTCCCCTTCTCTCTCCTGTCTCTGCTTCTCTTTGTAAATATCTCAATACTGCTGCCATGGCTCACAGAAGTAAACAACACAACTTATAACGATGTAACAAATGCAGGTGCCCCATGAGGCAGGGCAATCCTAATGGCAGGAGGGCAGAAAAGCCTGAAAACCATTTACCCTACACCTGGGTACACGCAGGTGGGCAACCAAGGCCACAGTTCTGGCTGCCAACTCCACAGGCCCTTTCCTCTTCCCTCCGCCCCACCTTCTGGGTTTGGGACAACTCAGGAGTAACCCTCGCGGCCAGGCGCATCTCACTCAGTCCTCTGGTGCCATCTAGCGTTCAGGCCAAAAAGCACTAGCCACCAGCACCTGTTGAGCACTGAGCCCAGCCACAACACTACACCTGAGCAAATACTGTTTAAAAATGAGCAATGATGGAAAAAAAAAAACCCTACACTTCCAACCGGAACCCTGACATTGTCATGCCTTGCTTTGGAGACCCGTCGCTGCCCACAGCTACACCAGGAAGCGCATTCCACTCAGCCTGCTGTAGCTGCCAGGCCATCGGACGGGCCACAGCCAGAGCTTCACAGTGCTGAGCTCTACATCAGGGGCCTCTCAATACCCCAAGCCCTCTGGTTGAAGGAAACCACAGGAGCCCTCACACCTGCCCAGCTACCAAAGGGGTCCAGACAGAGGCAGATGCACCCATGCCAAGGTAGGAGCACAGGGAAGTCCTTCCCTCTAGCAGCAAAAGCCTGGTCAATGGGCAAGACAGAAAACCTAGCCCCTGAACCTCTCCAGTTGCAACAAGGCCCAGGCAGTGTGCAGTTCCATCCACACCAAGCTGCGGCAGCCTTCGAACCCCAGCTGGGCCCAAGCCCCGGGCCCGAGGCACTCCCCGCTGCACTGGAGATCATCAGAGACTTCTGGACACTCCATAGGTGAGACACTGTGACCTCAATGCCTGTCATTTGCCCCCCGGGAGAGGAGAGGACCTGAACTATAAAGTGTTCTAGAGTTCTACATTTTGTTTATTTCTCTCTCTCCTCTGAGACACATCCAGGAGGGACTTGAGCAGCTTAACGCAGAGGTGCATAATACTCTTCCAGTGCCATGCATTGGCCGCGACGCCTGGGAGGGGACAGAGCCCCAAGGTGCAAATTTTTTTTTCTTTTTTTTTCTTTTATCTGTGGTTTTTTACTCTCTCTCTCTCTCTCTCTCTCTCTCTCTCTCTCTCTCTCTCTCTCTTCCATTTTCTTTGCATTTTTCCTTTCTGTGGTTTCTTGAGGAATTTCAGAAAAGAGACAGCAGACCCTGGGGAGACCACCCTCCTCAACCCAGCGGTGTCCCCCAAGCAGACCAGATTACAATAGCAACCACTAGCTCCTTGGGAGCCAACAGAGTCCAGAGTTGCAATTCTTCGATCCCCCCCTTTATTCTTTTTCCCCTATTTTTTAATATTTTTCATTTTCTCCCCATTATCATTATTATTCCCCCCTTTCCTTTCCTTCCTCAACTTCTTCCTCCTTCCTCTTTTCTTTTCTTTTTGCCTCTTCTTGTCTTCTATCATTTTTTCTTTTTCCCCCCTTATTCTTCTTTTATTCTTATTTCTTCTTTCTCTCTTTATTTTCTTTCTTCCCTTCTGCATTCTTGAGCCACAACCTAGAGGAAGCTGGCAGTTCAACACAGAATACATCCCACTCAGCCTGCAGGCACCTCACAGTGGATTGGGCCTCAGCTTATGCCTGGTGGTGCAGCGCTCTACATGAGACACTTGACTACGCCAGGCTGAGACACTGCATCCCATTCTATGTAGTGGAGGCTGGAAAGGAGCTCCTAGGGAAAATCACAGCTCACAACACCTGCCACAATAGATGTGTGCCCAGGTGAGAGCTATAGGAAGCCCACATCCCTAAGCCCCACCCATCCCAGTATTCCCTGACACCCAGTAGGAGAGCCTGAAAGAGCCACCACTGACATCAAACACCTGGCAGACAAGTACCCAGGTGGGAACTGCAGGAACCCCCCAACTCCCAATTCAGATAGCCCCCACGCTCTGGAAAGAGTGACTGGAAGTCCCACCTTCCTAGAGCAGTGGTTCAATTGAAGAGAGAAGAGGGGGGAGCCCTCTGCCCCACCCCTATCTCTACCCACCAGCCACAGTGGCCCAGGCACTAGGCTGATATATCCATGCCCTGGCAAGAGAACTCAGAAGTCACGCCTACCAGCACCAGTGGTACAGGGACGCTATGAATAGAACAAAGCCAAAGGCAAACAATGGGAAGAAAGGAAAATACAAGTAATCAAGCAGGCCCTCCTGGGAACAATACACCACAGAAAGAAAGTCAAGCTCCAGAACCCAACAATATGGACACAGAAGAATATCTCTGCCTGACAGATAAAGAATTCAGAATTGCCAAAATGAAAATACTTAAAGAGTTAAGAGAAAATGCAGAAAGGGAAAAGAATATAATCAATGAACTGAGGAATGAGAACAAATCCTTAAAGAAGAAATTAAAGGAACTGAAGTATGTTCAAAGTTTACTGGAGGAGCTGAAGAATTCTGGGAAAAGCCACAAAAATAGAAGAAATGGAAGAACCAATCAGTACTCTCAAAGATACAGATATAAAAAGAACCAAAAAAGAAAAGGAAAGAGAAGTACGAAGGAGAAAAGAGTACAGCAAAGGAGACAATAGCTAAAAGCTTCTGTAAGCAAAAGAGACAATAACCAAAACAAAGAGACTCCCTACTGATTGGGAGAAAATATTTGTACTCCATGCAACTGCTAAGGGACTGATTTCAAAGCTCTACAAAGAGCTCATACAACTCAACAAAAATAAAGCAAACAATTCAGTCAAAAAGTGGACAAAAGAGCTAACAAGACACTTCTCCAAAGAGGAAATGCAGATGGCCAACAGGAACATGAAAAAATGTTCCGTATTACTTATAATCAGGGAAATGCAAATCAAAACTACAGTTGGATACCACCTTACACCAGGGAGAATGGCTCACATTAAAAAAAAAAAAGTGGCAACAACAAATGCTGGCAAGGATGTGGAGAAAAAGGAACGCTCTTACACTGCTGGTAGGAATGCAAAATGGTTCAACCACTATGGAAAGCTGTGGAGAACACTCTAACTACTAAAATGGAGCTACCACATGACCCAGCAATTCCACTCCTAGGAATCCACCCAAAGGACACAAAAACATTAATTTGAAAGGAAACCTACATTCCTATGTTTATTGCAGCACTATAACAATAGATAAGATCCGGGAGCAACCCAAATTTCCTAAAACAGATGACTGAATCAAAAAGATGTGGTATGGATACACAATAGAATACTATTCGGCAATCAAAAAAGATAAACTCTTGCCATTCACAGCGACATAGATGACAATGGAAGAGATTATGCTTGGTGAACTAAATCAGAAGGAAAAAGGAAAATATCAGATGGTTTCACTTATAGGAGGAACATAGAGAAACCATACAAGGGATCAGGAAAAAAAAAAAGACGAAACTAGCATGATTAGGATGCAGGGAAACTATAAATCAGAGGTGTTCAGCAGGGCAGGGGGAGGGAGAGGGAGCAAAACAGGGAAGGGAAGAGCACAAGAGATGATGATGATGGTTCATAAGTGTCTCGGTGGTGGTGATTTTATGGGGATTACACCTGTGTGTTTGTGTGTGTGTGTGTGTGTGTGTGTCCCAATATGCATTCCAGAACCAGAGAATATCCTCAGGATTGGTTGGGTATCCAACACCAGCTTGATGGTGATAGCTTGCAGGGCTGAGACAAGGTTATGCAGGGGGATTTTATGCTTCTGTATCAGTGTACAATGCAGTCATGTGTTGGTCACTTCGTTTTGGTCAATGGCAGTCATATGTCAATAAATGACCTTGTCCCCTAGGCTGTCTTGAGCATCCATGGCAGCACGCCAGGCCAACGAGGATAATGGAAGTGCACTGGGTGATACTTGCACAGTCGTGAATATCCTTGTCTTTAAGTGATGCATGACTGTATTTGGTGCTATTTCTTCCACAGCCAGGATTCACAAGTCCAAAAATCACAAATGGAAAAGGGAGTGCTACCACTCATATTATCACTGCTGATCTGGTTGGGAAGATTTTCACTGCTGGTCAACACCTTATGTTTTCAGTAGTTCCAAAGGCAGGAATGATTCCACCAGGAGACACAAGGATGATTCATTGAACTGTCAGGCCAAGGAGACAGACGTAGGACAAAGAGCATGTCAGGGTAGAGAGTTGAAATGCAGGTGAGTGGAAACAGGTGGACAGAAAACAGGATATCTGCAACAAGCAGGAAAGAAGTCAGAATCTGACTGCAGAGCCAGCAAGTTGGTTGGCCCAGGTGGGCACATAGAAAGCAGGACATGGACAGGAGGCAGCAGCAGATGAGGCAAGATGGGATGGCAGGCAGGAGGCCCTGAGAGATGGTCCATGTCCATTGGGTTACTGAAGCTTCATGAGGTGCAGGTGGATTCCATTCTCGGACCTCAATATAACTTTTGGGTTTGGAACAGGGACCTTGGAGGGATCTGGTGCCACCTCAAAGCGCAGCAGAGTCAGGGCCACGGCCACCTTCATCTCATTCATAGCAAACTGCTTCCCGATGCAGTTCCTGGGTGAGGATGGAAAATAAAATGAGACGTGAATTCTAACCAACTCTGAGTTGAGGAGAATTGGCCACTGAGTGCTGGCCTGGGAATGGGCGTTCACAGTCCCCCCTCATAAGACCTAGCCCCAACCTCATCCTTAGGGTCACATACACTCTACGCATGTGGGGGGTCACGCTCTCTCCTGACTGTGACAAAGGCTGCCCCTCCTCTAGGCGTGACCCTACATCCCACCTGTGCTCTCGGCACCTGAGATGCTGTCGGGGCAGTCAGTGCTCTAAGCCACAGTCAAGTCAACTGAACCACAAAAGCAGTTCATGACCAGATTGCTCACCCTCCACAGCAGGGCCTGGCTTCACAATAGGAGGCATGAATGGGGATGGGAAGGGCTGACTCTCAATCCCCCAATAACTAAGAGAGAAAACTCAAGGGAGCCCTGGTCCTTAGAGTGCAGACAAGATGGGGTTGTGTAAAGAAGTCAGATGATGAACGGGAAATGAGTCCCAATGGCTTAGCATCCTATGAACTTTCTACTATCTGCCACCAGTTAATGGTACAGTCTCCTGGCTCCCCATCCCCAAACCCAACACTGCTCAGTAAACCATTTTCTGTAGCTTCCAATTCTGCTGTAGCAATATCCTTTTACCCATTCCATTTTCTCCCCACCTGGACACTTCTTTCTGTCTCTTTGCCATCCCTTCTCCCTAAACTGGACCCAGAGCCCAGTCAGACACTCCTATGCCCTCCTGACAGGTAGGTCACGTCTGAGTGACTTAGCGGGCATCAATCCCTCCCTGATTGTTTTCTCACTGACTTCTTACCTGTCCAGGCTCAGGGCATCTTTGAAATCATTGAAATGAACAAATACCAAGGGCATTACTGTATACAGCGCACACAGAGGGGAAACCCCATCAGGATATCACCTGAGATGCTCCATCCCCCCAGGGACAGGCTGCCTCACCTGGACCCTCCTGAGAAGGGCAGGAAAGCATGGCTGTGCCGAGCAGTGCCAGGAGCAAACCGGGAAGGGTCAAACACCTGCAGAGAGAGTAACAGGCTCAGGCATAGGGGCAGACCCTCCTTCCCTGACCAGGGTGCGGCCTCCAGTGGGAGCCAGAAGATCTTTGGTCAAGAGAGGTCCCCAATCCCTGCCTGCCCACGTACCTCAGGGTTTGGCCACACATTAGGGTTGTGGTGCAGCCCATAAATGGAGAGTGACACAGTGATTCCTGTGGGGCAGGGAGGAGAGAAGTGTGAGGACACCTTGGGGTGCCCCAGTCCCCCGCCAGGAGGGGACACGTGCATGAGCAAAAGCCCAGAGCCTGGACGGCCATGATGTGAGTGAAACAATCCCATGGCAGAGCAGTGGGTGGACACGGCACAACACGTGTGCAGTCAGGAGGAAAGCGAGTAGACAGGAGGGGAAGCTGCAGAGAGCTGGACGCTCCCCTGAAGCAGCAACTTAAGCGACAACTCTCAATTATCACTCCCCTCCGTGAGCATTTGGGGACATTGCAGTAAATGATTCAGTTCCCACAATCACCCTCCAGAAGTCCTCTCATCCATGGCTCACATGATGCACCAGAGCCTCAGAGGATGAGGGACCTGCGGGCAGCGCGTGCTACAGGTCTGGTTCTCAGCCTCACCTGATGTCTGCTCAGAGCCTGGACCATGGGCTCATGTGTGAGGAACCCCTGACCTCCCACTCTGCCTGGGGCCCAAGGAGGGGAACATATCTTCTAGCTGCTCTCTGATTTTCAGTCCAGCCAATCTTAGAGGAAATTATAATTTTATATCTAAATTCAGGGCTAACATTTAACGATGGAGCTTTTGCTGGAGCAAGTCCTGAGCCATGCAATTCACACATCTCATGCTCATTAAGTATAGATATTCCTTAGGAATAAAGAAGATGCAGGGAAAGCAGGAGTTCCCTAGGACACATGGATTTTTATTCATCCATGTGTCTCAGGGGTTTGCTGAGGGAGTGGTGTGGCCCATCTCACCCTTAGGTAAGGAGCGTCCATCAGGAAAGGTGACCGGCTTGCTGAGCTCCCTGCTAATACCCGGCACTGTTGGGTAGATTCTCAGCGCCTCCTTGATGCACATGGTGGTGTAGGGCATCTGGTCCAGGTGGTCCCTGAAAGGAAGTGCACCCTGAGGGTGGGGCACAGCCTGGGCACACAGGGACTCTCTCCTCAGTGGGCAGGGCCCTGCTGCCTCTGGAGCACTCACCAGCTGAGGGAGGCGCCATCCCCCAGGAGGCCCTGCAGCTCCTCCCTGCACCTCTGCTGGTGCTCAGGGTGTGTGGCCAGTGCATAGAGGATCCAGGAGATGCCGCTGGCCGTGGTGTCGTGCCCCTCGAACATGAACGTGTCCACTTCTGCCCGGAGGTCCGCGTCGGACAAACTGTCCCCATTCTCCATCTGGGGAAGGCCAGGTGACACTGGGGGGCTTGCTCCTTCCTGGGGGCGTCTGGGCAAAGCCTAGACCTCTCCTACACACACTCACTCTGGCACGGAGCAGGATGTCCAGGAAATCCAAGTGCCTCTTCTTGCTGATCTTTTCCAGCTCGCCCTCCTTCTGCAGGTGAGCCTTCCTCTGCTGGATCACTTGGTCTGTGCAGAACAGTGGTTTCCAGGCAGAGATGAGGGGGCTTGGAGCCCAGTTACAGCAGCCCAGAGTAGTTCCCTCTGCCCCTGGCTGCCGTTTGGGTGCAGGTGGGTCAGATGAATGTGGAAGGGGTGTGCATGTCAGGATAAGAACCCTAGTCCATCTGACTTGAGGTCTGGCCTTCCCTCAAAAGCACCACCAGTAGAGGCTGTTGAATGTGCTGGGAGAGGGTTTCATTCAACCAACTCCAGTGTGGTGTAACCCCCGAATGGAGCCTGGCAATCTACAATCTCAGTTTCCTATCCTGCATCATGGATGCGTCCCAGCATTTTAGGGGCATCCATACTGGCCTTGGCTAATGGGTCAGGGCCAGTCCCTTGGATGAGCCTGATGAAGGAGGGGGAAGCCCAGCAGCTGGAACCAACCTGTGTGCTCATGGGCCACCTGGCAGGCCCGGAGGTACCTGCGGCCTGTAGGGGTCATGCTGTAGACGGTGTCGTTCTGGTGGAAAGCATTCCTCACTCGGGAAAAAAACAGGTTCTTTAGGTCATCAATGGCCTGGATGTAGGATTGGGAGCTCCTGAAGGGGAGGAGGCAGAAGAAACTGTAGAGGAGCGCGCCTCTCACCTGGAGGGGGATGGGCTCCAAAGGGGTGTCCTCAGAGAATGGGGCAGCGACAAAGACACATGTCATTTCTGTGTACAGCTTTGTCACCTTGGACCTTACAAGGAGAATGAGCTGCCCCCTGTCCAGGGGTAAGGGTCTGGGAACAATGAAGGTTGGTCTGGGCTGGAATTTGCCCCTGGTCTGTCCCAAGCATTAGAATCTCACTTTTTGTGCCCATGTGGACCCACATTGCCTGAACTACCTGCCTGTCGGCGGAGGCCACACCAGTTGGTAAGACCAAGGACCCACATTACAGGATTCCCACTGACCTGTCTGTCTGCACGCTGCCCTGGTGGCTGAAGGCGCACTTCATGATGCTGTCCAGGGTCATATAGGAGATGGGCTCGAAGATCTCAAGTGGGTTCTGGCCGCTGAGCTGCTCCCATTTGTCCTGTGGGGCAGGGGACATGGACCCTCCTCCACTGCACAGAGGTCTCTGCTGTGGGGCTGGGATCTCCCCGTCTCTAATTATTCACATGCAATTTCCTCACTTTATCTAGATTTTTTTTAACAAATTATGAATATAAAGTGTTTTCTTGTAATGGTATTTTCTGAGAAATTTTCATTTTATATTGAATTGTCCACCCCAATTTTCTGACTTTGTTTTGAATTTTATGACCAAGCTATGATAATGATCATATTATACAGAAAGAAACATCGCTCCTCAGGTTCATAGATGAATCTTCTCAGGCCTGAGATGTGAACTTGACCAGAAGGACAGCAGAGGTCACAAGAAATTAGTCAAAGCCAGAGGAAGCATAAGGCCAGTCCCGGTCTCCTAAGGCAGGGGCATGAGGGACATCAGTTCCTTTTGTCATGCAATGTTAGTTGAGCGGAGTTGGGTGAGGAGTCGAGTCCTGAGGGAGGTGATGCGGGGGCAGGAGCAGCACTAGATGCAGACGGGTCTCCATCTCCTCAGGGAGTGGGGCTTCCAGTCAGTGGAGGAGCTCCGTGCCAGGCCTGCATTCTGGGATGTGCACCTTGCACAGACGCTGCCCACATGGGCCAGCCTAGGGGAGCACGTCCTGCGGCTCAGGGGATGGACACTCCTGTCGTGCAGTTGGGGACGGAGATGTGGGAAAAGCACCCGTTCTCCACTGTGGCTCTCTCTCCAGTGGGGTTGAGCCAGTGGGATGCAGGCACCTGGCACCTGCTGCTCTTTCTACTTTGGGAGCGGGTCCTGAGAGCGTCCTCTGGGCGGCTGTGTCTGGGCATCCGAGGATGCACACGTGTGAGGGTGGAGTCTGGGTTGTGCTGTGTGGATGGCCCAGAGATAGGACAGACTTACCAGCATCACTCGCACAGAGTCGGCCATGAGCCCCACGTAGGGCTTCAGGATGTCATAGTGGAAGGCTGGGGTCAGCATCCGCCGGTGCTGGAACCACGGCTGCCCGTTCAGCAGGAGCAGACCATACCCTGCACCAGAGAAGGATGGGGGTATTGGGCTGCTGGGGCTGGGGAGTTAGACAGCATCAGAGAGGACACTGGCCATAATTTGGGGGGAAACTAGGATATCACAAGAAGTACTTCATGCAGAAAGACAGGACAGCCCCGTGCATTTCCAGAAAGTGATTTTAACAAAGTGACTGGCACTTGGAATGTGGTTAAGAAGCTATGAGATAAAGGTGGAAGGGTCAGGGGGCAGGTCACAGAAGCAGGTGAATGAAAGTGGGGCTGAGAGGCTGGAGAGGACTGAGAAGTGAGGGAGGGAGCTGTGCAGGAGGCGCTCAGCCCCAGCGGGTAGGAGTGAGGGCTTATTAGAAAAGTGAGGTTTGATTCAGTCGCAAAGGCTGACATGGAACTGGTCACCTGCTGTTCTCCATGCCAAACAGATAACTCTTGGCAGACCTACCTGGCAAATGGATCTCAGTCCCAGTTGTTGTACTCACCAATCCAGGGAGCCAGAAATCTGTAGGTACTTTGAGCTTTGGGATCTGAAAGAAAGGATGGTAAGAAAGTAAATTCTAGAGGATCAGATGAACTGGTGATCCAGGAGGAACCATGGTCAGACCTTGGGCTCCACCCCTTCCTGAGGATTGTCAGTTGGCCTTGGCCCAAGACACTTTCACCTGTCTCCCTTCCTGACTCTCTCCTGAGAATCACTGAGCTCAGGAAGCCAGACTCAACTCCCAGCGTCAGCTCCCCATGGCGTTGGGATGGAGAATTGGCAAGAAAAAGTCTCAGTGACAAAGAATAAGGTGAAATCTTGAATTCATACAATTTGTGGTGGATTACCCATCCCCTGACCCAGGACAGCATACTTAGAGGTCCAAACCCAAAGTTTAATCCAGGAAAATATCCATAAAAATATCACAACAACTTGGTTTAAAATGAAAGAAATAATTATTTTAAGTTGTCCCATCACAGCTGTTTGAGCATTCACTTTGTTATCACGGGCTTGGGCCGGCTTGTGGACAGGAGGTTGCTGGCAGAAGGTCAGTTATTGAAGCTGAAACTGCAATTTCAAAAACCCAGAACATGTGCTACCGTGGGCGGAGGGACTGCCTCTGGGAAGGGGGTTTGCGCTCACCTGACCTCCCGAGAATCACCTTCATGTAGTCAGGGTCGTAAACCAGGAATTGGACCTCTGACCCCCAGAGCCAGCGAGGACAGGCACTCGGGAATTTCTCCACTCTTTTCAGTATTTGTTGTAGCTCATTTTTTTGGAACTGTCACCAAGAGAAAAAAAAATCATTTAAAGTCTTTTATACATGCGTGGGCAGGGGTGAAGGCAGGATGGTCACAGGAAAATAGTTCTAGATCATTCAGAGGAAGGGAGAGTTCAGTACTGTTTTTTTCTGACTTGGACTCTCATCTAGACTTGCTGGTTGCCCACGGCTTTTACTTGAGGCCAGTTCTGGGTGGAGCTGTGGCCTCACAATGCCATGGGTACAGAAACTTCATTGGGGACTGACTTCATAGTGTAGAGACTTTGGGAATCATTAGAACAACATAAACAATTGTATGGGAACTTTTATCAATTGGGAAGCAGTTTTGTCACATAGGTTTGACAATTTAGATTTTAAATGAATTTTCTGTCAAAATGTATGTTTGTAAACTAACTTTAATTTGCCAAATTGGTTGTTGTATATGTTCAATATTAACCAGCATACATATAAATATTAGTTAATATAAAATAGATTCAAGACATTTATGATTAAGTGAAAAGAAAATAAAGACTAAGTTGTCTGTGTGATATACTGTACATCCTTTATATGTACATGTTTTAAGACAAAGCCTGGACGAACATCTATGAGAATGTTGTTGGGGTCTGATTTTGGAATTTGGGTTTTCTGTCTCATTTTCCCTTACCGATCCCAGGGAACCTTTGTGAGCTCCCCGCTGCCTGCAGAAGACATTTAAACTCCTGACGGTGGAGCACAAAAGCTGTGCCTCCCTTCTCTCCCCTTGCTCCTGCTAAGCTGGCAGCCCCAGGACCCCTGCCCCACTCCACAGACGCTGCTGCTCCGCCCCAGCTAGGCCTGCTCTCCCCTCTCCTGAGCACAGCTCCTCATCCAGCTGAGGTGCCCCTTCACAGCACAAGCAGATGCCTCCCTTCAACTTTCAAGACTCAAATTTAATTTACACTCTTTGGAATTCTCAGAAACAGTCGGCTCTAAACACGTTCCATTTAGTCAACTCTTCTTTGCTCCGTTACATGTAACTTAAAACCACCTTTGTACTTTGTCCTTTTGACACCAGGATTGACCAGCCCGAGACAACTTCCCCCACTGTGGACAGGCTCCCTTGGTCAGCACCCAGTTCCCGAGCACCCACCATGTGCCAGGCACTGGGTCCAACACTGAGGCAGGATATGGTACAGACCCTCACCTGTGTGGAGCTTCTGGTCAGTTTGGGATGAAAGAAAGATTAAGCACCAGGACAACAGGCGATAATTAATATGTGTAGGAGGAAGTCCAAGGCTCTGGAGAAGGAACCTGACTCAGAGTGGACATGAGACAGCTCCCCCTCAGTGCAGGCTCTTTGCTGGGTAAGGGGAATGAGCCCCTAAGTCCCACTGCTCACAGCACAGGTATTTTGGCCTTGAAAGCTGGGAGGTAAAGAGATTCCGCTTGATGGTGCAGCTCAAATGTCAGTACTTCATCCCTAGGCCAGCCAGGAAACCCTCACACAACTGTATGACACCTTCTTGTTAGGGTTTAAAACTGAAATCACTACTCTGGAAAATTACTCAGTTCTGGGCACTTAGCTGCTTGCTTTCCTACACCTGGCATCTTCTCTCCTTACCCCATTAGTGTAATCTCCTTCTCTATAGACTGTTACCTTGTTAGTTTCCTGTCTGTCACCTTCAAGGACTTTGAACCCCATAGAACAGGGGTCTTTAAGGAGAGGATGGGATGGAATGACAAGTACAGGGAAGTATCTAGAAGCCTAGTGAGGGAGACAAGCTGAGGTTCTCTACAGCAGCGGGGAGACTCAGGAGGAATAGGTGTTGTCCTCACAGAGCAGGGCTGCCAGGACACTCTGCAGACCAGCCTGAGGGAGGAGTGTCCTCCATATCTGAGCCTCCAGCCCAGGCTGCCCTGAGGGAGCGCGTTCTGTTGACTACGATGAAGAGCCAGGACTGAGAGGTGAGCTGGGTTTTCCCTGGAGGCCAAGTGAAGGTGCCATAGCAAGGTTTGGTCCAGTGACTTGCTCTGAGAACCCAGCCCTCCCTGCCCTACCTCTCCCCAACCCTCTCTTCCTACCTCCTTATAGTGTCCAAAGAGCCAGTGGGAGGGTGGGCACGGGAATTGCTGGAGGGCTTTGAGCAGCCATTGCCTGTGTAGGTAGAGCTGGGCGGCCTTGATCAGCAGCAGAACAAGGCTGAGCAGGGAAGCCACTTGCAGGAGCCCAGACACATTGGCCAGGGGTCTGATGAGACTCAGCACAGAGGCAGTCATGGTGCAGCAGCTTCTGGGTGGCTGACTGTACTGGTGTGTCCCTCACCACCCCTGTCCATCACAGTCACATAAGTACTCCCTCAGTGAAGCATTGCTCCGCCCACACTGGAGGGTGCTGGTGATTGGTGAGGGCAGAACTCAGGACAGTCAGCAGAGGTGGGTCATCCACCTTGGAACAGTAGGGGAAAGTTTCTCAGCTGACATTGACTGTGTACACATTAACTTTACACTCACCATTTTTCTCACCGATCATTCAGGGAACACATACTATGTACTAGGCAATATGTAGGTATCTTGACACACTGGTAAACAATACTGATGTAAACACAGACTTAAAGAATTCACATTCTAGTTAATGTTGTCCAATAAGGTTTATTCAGTGGCATTTCTTTTGGATACATGATGCAATCAGTTCTCACTTTGATGTTTATTCATAGATTAAATCAACCAAATCTTTAAATATGTCTTATCATAATATTAATTGTATTTACCACTAGCAACCTCTTTGAACTATAGATTGGGTGAGAAAAAATGAAAATTATTTTCTTTCTCTTATCTGGCTGATGGTATGAATGAAGAGATGTGAATACACCAGCCCTTCAAACACCATCTCATGTGTTATTGGAGAGACTGGTTTTGCAGTACCTATAATATGATTCCTTCTCCAACCAAACACATGAGAATTTCAATAATTTTAAATAATCTTAGTTATGATGTTTTCCTAATAGCACATTTACTTTAGTGCAACCATAACATCTGCTCATTAGGGTGACAGCCCTCCCTTTTATCATCTCTAAAAGGCCTAATACCAGTTCAGTCCAACTTCACTGAAGTTCTAAAGATGGGACTTTTGCTAATTCCCTTTCATCCTCCAATAAAAAATAATTATAAAATTACAGCTTTCAGCTGTGGGCCCAGGGTAGGCAAGAAAAGGATAGCAGGTACTCAAATTGGAAAGGAAGATACAAACCTACCACTTTTGCAAATGTCCTGATAACATTCATAAAAAAATCTAAAGATTCCACTTAAAACATATTAGACACAATTAGTGGGTAAAACGAAGTGACTGGATATAAAAATCAATAAAGTAAATTGGTTATGTTGCTATACAGAAACAATAATCTATAAGAAAGAGAAGTGAAGATGACAATTCCATTTTCAGTCTCATCAGAAAGAATAAAGTTAACAAAGGGCATAAGACACTACCTAAACACTGGAAACTATAAGACATTGTTAAAAAAATATAAGAAAGCACACATAAATGGGAAGATACTCTGTGTTCCTGGATGGGAGAGGAACATTCTTCCTTTCTCTTGAGTGATGACACGTTTGTTATAGCATGTTGAGTTGCCGGCAAGTACTAGAAACTGGAGTTAGAAATTTGAGGCGGTTGTCCAAATGCCGAGACTTTCCTGCTGTGTGACCATGAGAAAGTCCATTAACATCTCTGGGTCTTAGTTTTCTTGCTTGTAAAATAAGGTTAATATACCTAGTGCATTGAATTGTACTTGTGCTTTGGAAAGCTCAATTGCTACATAAATTATGAGAGACATTTGGGGAAACTTTACTTTTGCCAGCTCCATGCAGGGTACTGAGTAGAAAACCTCCCTGCCCCACCTCTTCTCACTCCAAGTGGAAAATGAGGTACAGAATGTCCTTACTCACAAGTAATCGTGATAGTTCCGTGACTTCTCTTAGATGGGAAATACGGTCTAATATTTAGTCTTAAACACATTGCTTAGGTGGTACAATCTTTGTAGTTTGTAGAAAATAAACAAGTTATGATGAATGAAACCCAACTTTATCAAACCCCAAAATACAAGAATTTCCAGCGGTGATTGAGTCACAGAACTGATCTCTTCCAGGTGCCACCTTGGGTTCACTGCCACTCTCCTCTGCTTTTCTGTTGTCTAAAACAGGAACCAGGAGGCATTTAGAATAAAATTAGTCATTTCCTTTTAAAATGGCACTCAGAATCAAATCTGGTCCATTAAAGATGGTGATCTAAGGTCTAAAGTTTTCTTCTCAATGATCCATTCATTTACTGATCCATTATTTCATGAAATCAGCAAGGATTTACTGGGCACAGTAAGCACTGTGTGTTCCATGGGAGGAGTCTGGACAGGGAATCCTCATTGCTTGGGTTTTATGTATACCTAATACCAGAAAAGTTGTTGCTGATGAACAAATGTTGACCATTGCAAGCATAATTGTAAGCATTGAACTCACTATTATTCAGTTCTGTGGTCTGCTTTGGTCACTTTATTTTATGATTTCTCATATCATTAGAAATTCTCCATACGTGGTTTTGCTAAAATTAAAGAGCTGTTTCAGCTGCCATTCTGGTGTGCAGTTCAGCCTTCTCAGTACAAAGTCCATTTGGTCCACTCAGTCAATTAACTGTTGACCCTGCAGAGGTGCCTCTTAAGTTAAACAAGAGCAGGATGCTTAATTCCCTGGGACGAGGAGGGTACATCACTGAGGCATGACCAGGACCGCTTGGGGAGCTGGTGACTGATATATAACTTTGTGTTCCAGAGAATCATCAGCGGAATGCCTTGTTAACTAGATTGGTACCAGAAGCAAGGGTCAGATTTTGAACTTCAAACATTGGGCCATAAAACTAGGCTATAAATCTAATTTGAATTCACAGCCTTCTCTCCCCAAAAGTCTAGATAACCTAAATGTACATTCTTTCCTCCTAACTTTTTTCTCTTTATCCTCCTGGCCTGAGTAATTGACTCTGTAAAATCACTCACTAAATAATAAGGCCAGGTTTTGCCTTCTTGGTAGCATCCAGCCAGAACGGTTTGCTCTACTACTCCTGTTTCTTCAACAGTGTGGTGTTGCCTGACACAACAAGTGGTACCCGAACAGGACCCCACACCCCTCTTCTCAAGCTGGGGAAAGGGAACTGGACGTCCTCTCAAGCCTGTTCAAAGGCTTCACAGACACAGAGTCTGCAAGGAAGCGGTAAGAAGATATTTTCGGTTGAGTCTCTTCTATCTAATTTTCCTCCAAATCAGCACGGTAAAAGGACCACAGACCCAGTCTGTGATGTTTTCAGTTCATTCTTTCCTTTCTTTCACAGAAACATGGGTAACAATCTTACACCCCCTCAGAGCAATTATAAAGAACAATTTAGAGCTCTTCTACTAACCCAGGGATGAGATGTATATTCATGGTCCCAGGGGATTAAGCATCCTGCTCTTGTTTAACTTAAGAGGCACACCTGCAGTGTCAATAGTTAATTGATTGACTAGACCAAATGGACTTTGTACTGAGAAGGCTGAACTGCATAGCCAGAATGGCGGCTGAAGCAGTTCTTTAATTCTAGCAGGCTCACATCCATAGACATCATTTGCAATGGTTGATATTCACATGGTTTACCTGACACCTTCTTACAGAAGCTGACCTGAGAGTGAGGCTCACATTTCCCTCAACATGGGGAGCTGATAACCTGAAAGACGCTCCAGCTACTTGAAAACAGTAGATCAATTAGATTGAATGTGAAATGCTCCCCCTTAAATATTTGGGGGTCACCATATATGGACTGGAGGTTCAACCTAATAATCACCTCTTTGCCTTAATGGTCAATAGCAAGGTCTCTGGATCCTGCTTTTTTTGACTTGAATCCTGGTGCAACCTCTTACCTACAGGCTCACCTGGGCAAGAGCGAACATCTTTGTACTCAGTTTTTTACACAGAATATGAGGATTTGCCAAAAAAAAAAAATCTTTTTTGTAGAACTATTGTGAGCAAAGCTGTAGGTGCTGGAGTAAGAGGTTTGGTGGGTGAGGCAACAGGTTAGCAAGTTATGGGGCCATGTGGCAGGCTGCTTTTCCAGTTTCTTCCTGAAATATATTTGGTTTTACTTTATGAATTATGGCTCTTGGATATAATTTTGAAGGAGAGAATCATGAAATAAAATGAGAGCTGTGGTTTTTGGAAGGTAAATGTGTCTCCAACCCTTACTCTTGCAGCCTGTATTTCTCTGCTGCTCTGATTCCTTTTTTAGCATTTGTGCAACTGATGATCATCATTCTCAAGGCCTCTATTTGTTATTTTTTTCTTCCTTGGATGGCCTAAGTCTGCCATTTATTCCTTCACTATATCCTTTGTCATATTTATTTTACTCATTTATTTTCTCCCTTAAGCATTGAAATACGAGTTCAAAAGATATGTTTTTAAGTGAATGAGTGATTATTTCTGAGAATTATTAGGAAAAGGCTTTTGATCCTTCCTATATTAGTTTATGGGCAAATGTAACAATTAACCAGACATTTGGTGATTTAAAACTCTGAATTAACTTTTTTTACCTTTTAAATTTTTTTTACATCATTGTTCATTTTTAAACAATATTGGCTTCCCCCCACCCCCCTCAGGTATAGTCCCCATAGCGTTTCCTTCACCAATGCACCCGTGCACCATCACCTCAGTCCCCTGTGCTCCTCCCTCCCCCCCCTCTGATCCCTCTCCTGCCTCCTCCCCTGCATTATCTCTCTGATTTATAATTGTCTGTTTTTGCTTTGTAAAAACCTAAATTTAATCTCATAGTTCTAATGGCCAGAGTCTGGAGTCAGTATCACTGGGCCAAAATCAAGGTATTGGCATTATCTTACTCTCTCCAGGTGCTCTAGCTGAATTTATTGCCCTCTCTTTCCAGCCTCTGGTGGCTGCTGGAATTCCTTGGTTTATATTTTATTTTATTTTTTAATTATTTATTCATGCTACAAAAACTGGGGTTCAGGCCAGGTATGTAGGAGGGCGAGAGGATTCACCAGAGACAGAGTAGGGAACAGAATAGGCAGACTGACCAAAATACACTGCTGAGGGAAGTAGCGGGCGAGACAGGAGAGGTCTGCTGTGCCATGTGGGAATCCCCCCAGCTGGCCTGGGTATCCCCCTGGCCGGCCGGGATCGAACCCGCACTGCAGAGGCTGTGGACAGCTTCACAGAGCTGGTCAACCGCCTGTGCCACTAGAGTGACCCTGGAATTCCTTGGTTTATAGTCAACCAGCTCCT